GAACAGCGACAATGTGCCATGTCCTTCAACGTCAAGTTCCTATTTTCGCTATTTTGCTTTCTATGGCCCCCACCGTCTGCCCCAATTCGGCCGACGTTTTATGAGAGACATCAACGTGTCGTTTCGTTTGTACTCTCAAAAGGCTCTTATAACTTGGCCATAAAGTATGTAACTTTTGAAGCACATTTTCCTTTCTAATAAAGTTTGCCATATGTAGGAATACGACCGTCATTCTGTATTCTTCAGGTATAGTCTATAGAATCAACCATCAATAACGCAAATCTATATGTTTCCTTATATACATATCTAGTCAGCAATACAAAATTATATTTCCTTATTGAATTAAAAAGCTAGCTTAATGTAAATGTTCCTGAATGCAAAAATATGTTGAATATATTGATTCTTATTAAAGGTTTAAACATAATCTATTTGAAATTCGTTTCTTAATTAAATAAACAACTTCAGAATCGATTCAGGCTTAAAATGAAATCTAAATGTATTATTCATGAGCGTAAGGCCTTATCTTCTGTTAGATCATTTACCATTTTTAGCTTAGTAAAAGGCTTATATATCATTTTGAAAACCTTTCAGCATTTTAGATACTAATTTTTTATAATGTTATACATTATATACATTATACATTATTAATAGTTTTGGCTTAAAATTGAATTTATCGAATAATATAAATGCAATCCTGTGAGTGTAGAAGCCCTACAATGAATTTATAAAAACTATTTGTGTATAAACACATACTCGAATATACCTATTCAAAACTGGGATGCATATATCAGACACTTAAGAAATTCTAATACGTAAACGCATCCTTTGAAGATATCTTTTTTCAATGAGTTTTTTCCATTAATTAGAAATTCTGCAGTCATCAGTTAGATGCTGTAAGAAGTGGTGTTGAAAACCAATATATTTTTATATATAAATATGTTATATATATTTTTCAAATTTTTAAAAATTATTTATCATTTTTATTTATTTTATTTATTTATAATTTTTATTTATTTATTTCTGCTTCGATTTCTCCCCACTTTTTGCAGGCAGTAAAGCTTATTAAGACAATGTGCTTTTAATGGATTACAAGCCCAGACTTACAAGTATCACTGTGCGGGCCCTTTATGTAATTATGAAAGAGAGCCTTTGAAGTTTATAAATTCCTATTAATTTTTTTACAAAACAATTACAAACTATCTCAAGTATATCAAATGATTTATGAATATATTTTTAAATTTTCTATGAACTCTACAAACTCGAAATGCAACATACAAATAAATATATAATATTCCATTTTCATTGAATCCCACTACCAAAGCAAGGGTGTCTGAACTTCGGTGTGTGAAGAAAGCATTTGCTCTTTATGCTTCTTTTGCATTTCTTTGTGTGAAAGCCTTGCTGACTATTGGTCTGCTTCAGGCTACTTTTGCTGCTTGCTTATGCAGCATAAAAAAAAATTGGCAGTTAACATCATTTATTATTGATTTTGCCTGTTGTTTGTTGGCGCATTGAAAAACGAGCGACTAGCAACAATAATAACAATAGTGCCAACACATCAGCTGGCCTGTCGTGTCTGTCTATCTGTCTGAGCTGTTGCCCGTTAATATGTCGCTGGTCTCGCTGTTTTTTGGGTCAATTATATATGTAGTAAATAAGTGAGTATTGTGCAGGAAGACTCATAGAGGGAAACCGGCGACGACATCGATATTGCTCATACGCACCATTGGCGACCACGACCCCAAACGCGACACTAATGCTTTCACGCAAAAGATGATTGATGATGTTGTTGTTACTGCCCGCCATTGTTAGCACACTTTTCTATGGTATCTAAATGTGCATACTTACATATATATGTATGTATATTCGTATATATGCCTTTAACTGCTAATTGTAGGTATGTATTGTTATACTATACATATATAGAGTAACAATTTACATTCGCATAGCCTTCAACTTGCCGTTTGCGTATTGACCTAATTTTGTTTGGCCCTTGGGAGTGAGAACTTTGTTTTCCAGTTGAATTATTCGATGTTGTTGCCCCAATTTTAATTGACTCATTATATGTATAGGTTGTTGTTGGTGTTGTTGTTATTGTAAATACATAATTGACGACGTACTGTTAAAATCAAAGCTAATGAATGTAAATTATTATAATGATTTGCATTTACTTTTTCACTTTGCCACACTTTTGCAATTTTCTCATTTGCAACTGCAATTTGCCGTCGTCTGTCATTCGCAAAAAAATAAATAAAAATAATGTATTTTTAATTGTGATTTATTCAATCTGGCTGCGACACGGACACGGACGCGGACTTTTCAGCTCTCTTTGTTCACATTTTACCGCGAATACGAGTATGTACGATATACGAGTATGTACATACCGTTTATGTATGAAATTGAAAGAGAGAAATGGAAAAGAGGCGCAGCGCTTCGCACGTTTGAAGATACTACATTAAAATTATTTTAACGTTATCTGAATTAATGAAGCCGAAAATGGCATTTAATTTGTGAAATTTCATAGATATCGTGCAAGTGGCGATGGTGGCGGCGCCCTATATCTTATTTACAGCAAAGTGATTTCTTTTCATTCAACTTTTATTGTTAATATTCCACATTTTTCTGGTTTGTTGTTTGTTATCATAATTAAACAAAGGTTGCGTCAGTAAATGATAGCGTAAGGGGAGTGCATTTGTGTGTGTGTGTGCGGAACCTTTTCCATTTTGGTTCTGTGGTTGTCTTGGCCGCACTGTAGGCGCCATCAACTTTAATTTGCAGAAGTAGACGAGTAGGGCACTAAACAAGCACATTAGCTTCAAGAACACAGAACAGGCCAACATCATTTGTTAAAGCCAAAGTACTCGACATACAAGCGTAGGCGTTGTTAAGGAAGACGCGATTTATCTTAATGCAGGACATCGAAGGCAGTGTTAGCGGTGGGTGGGGACGCTGGCGTAGACTTCATCGTATTTTATTTGAGCTTAAAGTGCGTGGCAGACCGAAGCGGAAGTGGAGGCGACTCCCAGAAAAGTGCCGACGGTGAAATGTGTTCGACTTTTGAGCTTTGCCACAAAATGACATTCTAAACTAATTTGGGGCGTCAAAAGCACATGTAAAAAAAGTAAATTAAGCTGACAGGCACAACTAACAAGCTATCAAGCCGGCAGCGCCTTGATTAATTTTGCCTGACAGGACATTTTGGGTAAATTTTGTATGTGTCCGTGTGCTCTGTGAGGAGTGGGTGTGTGTGTATGTGTGCGGTAATTTTGTATTTATAAAGTTGAGAGTGCTCTAACCACAATAACAGACAGTGACAAGACTACGACGACGACGACGTCAACACAGATACACACAAACAGACAAAAGCAGAGAGACAACCACAGGACGAACCGCAATCTGATGATTCTTCGCTTATTGCCGTCAGTGTCATTGATGCTGCTGTGGCGACGCGCATAGCTCAACACATGAATGGAACTAGGACAAAGACCGTTGCTGGACCAAGAGGATGACGCTGAGTGGCATCTGTGTTTATGGAAAGGACAAGATCCAACAACAGAGAGACGAGTAAAGAAACGGAGAATTGTTTAGACTTCAAATGTACGAGTAAATCAAACCAAATTAAAAGTGAGAAATGCTTAAATGTTTTTCAAATTACTGTTCCGCCAGCTGTATTGGTTGTATTCGTTTAAAATCTTTGCGAATTTTTCCAAGTCCCATATACTATAAGATAATACTTAAATACTTATAAAAGCTTCAGTTGAAAGTATAAGTTATTTTTTGAAAATGAGCAGTTCGGCTCTTCAGCTATATGTTAATCAAAATCAGTGTTATTTGGTATTGCCGTTCACTTAAAGTTCTCATTGTACTTAAAAATTTACCCGTTTATTTTGAACGGGAAAAGCTTAAGTTCTTTTTTACTGAACCAAGAGCATTTAGAAAAGTAACCAGTTCAGCAGCACGCATAAAAGTCATTAACAGTTCGTGGAACTAGCTCATTGTTAAGAAAAGTAATCGGAAATCGTTGTGCATATGCGAGTTGATTGAATTAAACGCGTTTCGATTTCAAAATACTTAAGCAATTATCAGTCAGTTATTTTTAAAACCTTGAGCTTTAATATGACATAGAATTTAAATTTAAACATGTATATATACATACATATGTATGTATATTCTTCTTAGTTTAGGGTAAATAATGCCAACACGAAGTGTGCGCCTGTTAAATGAAAAAGTAGCACAATGACTTCTTAGATTAGGAAGTGGTAGCTAGTGGAGACCATTGTCAGGCATCGACTTTGCGTGCTACGTTCATGTCAAGGCTGAAGACAGCATTGTGTTTTGGGGAAACCGCATTGACAACTTAATGCCCACATAGCTAATTACTCGCACTGCTGTGAAAATACAGGCGGCGGCAGCCCCCAAACATTCGGCCCCATACGCTTTTAAAGTCAACGTTGAGTAAAGTATAAACAAAGAAAAGCTACAGACTCAAATCAGAAGCAGCAGCAGCGGCAGCCAAAATACGTTGTGAGATTGTGTGATTGGATCCCTTAATCAGCTTTGAGCATAAAGTGGGCCATGGGGAGCTGTTATGCTTGCCTGACTGTCTGATGACTGTTGGTAGTTTCAATTTCGACGCATTCATTTTGTTCATTTTATTCGTCGCACTGCAGCAATGCATACAAATGACGTTCAATTGCAGGCCATTTGTTACTTTGTTGCTCAGCTCGATTAGGAATGACCCACAGGAGAGCTGGAACTACGTGGGTCAATCTTTAAGCTGAAGCAGCTCAGGAATGAAAGCGCCGCGTCTAATTGCATTATGTTTGTTTCCCCAGCATCCGTTGCGGTCCTTCTCCGGATAACGCCCGGCTCTGAGCGCAGTTGACTGAGTTTTCAATTACCTGGCTGATTACTTGGCAAAATAAATTGAAACTGTCGAGAGCGGCGACAACGCTTTGTACGCCACAAGGCTAAAATTGATATGAGAAGTGTTCGTGGAGTGTTGTGATTTATGTTGATAACTTTAATTGTTGACGTGTACTAATAACTAGGAACTAGGCTTTATGAATGCAAATCAGATGCTATGTTATTTGGCCACGTGAGATTTGGTTGTGGTTGCTGTGTTGAGCTAAAATAGGTGTGGATTAAAATCCCATTTTCATAACAACATGTGAACTAAAGCGATATTAATAGTAATACATTAGTTAGTCAATTAAATTCACTTGTTTGTGATAAACTTAATTACTAATGTAATCATTTTCACGTCATAGCATTATAACAATGCTAGATAAATAAACCTGTTATAGGTTTAGATATATTTAATTGTAGGCCTTTGAAATCTAATTCTTTTTAAAATCGCACAATACAACCGTGCCAACATATTCGCAAAACGAAAATCTTGCCAATTCAGTGCCAGGCGTGCTGAACGTGGAATACACTGAATTCGACAAATCATTTCGTTTTTCGCAAACGAGGCATGTTTGTTTGTCCATGAGAGAGTACTTCATATAATTACGGCACAATGTGATGAAAATGGGACTCTAGAGTTGTGTTTAGATGGCAACGGCTTGTCTGCGATTCCAACGCCACACAGTGGCATCATCGCAGACATAAATAAGAACATTGGCGTCGCGTGAGAACGCAATCTGACGCACGGTGGAGACACTACGTGGATTATGCAGGGTGGTCATATGTGCGCCCTCCGGATCGCTGGGATCCATCTCCCACACATACACCTTGCCTTGTTGATTACCCAGCGCGATAATCTTTTGCCAAGGATTGAAACCAAAACGCACAAACCAAATCTCACACTCGTCGTACTCGAACTCCGCAATAATGGTGCATGAAGAATCACTGGGCTTTAAGTTTTCAAAGCTCTGATGCAGCTGGCCAGGCTTCCAGCAGACAATGGCATTCTCGCAGGACTTTGAGAGCACAAAATTTCCGAACCATTGCACGCAGTCTACATAATTGCGATGTATGTCCCGCGTCGAGAAGTCCGGAAAATGTTTGGTGATTGTGGGAAATGGTAATGTTGATTTCTCCTGGCTGAATGTATGCGAGAGTTCAATCTTATGGTGGAATTCGGGCGTGTTCAGACACCACAGCTTCAATGAATGATCCATTCCACTGGACACGATACGATCGCCACGCATGTTAAAGTCAACGGATAGCACCTCGTCACGATGGCCTTCGACGCCACCAAAGATGGCAATGCAGACATGCGTTTGTATGTTCCAAAGGCGTATAGCATGATCCTTGCTGCCCGAGAGTAACAGCTGCAGCTTGGTCGGATGGAACTTTAGTTCATTAATGGCCTGGCCATGCCCAATATAATTTCCCACTGCCTCATTCTGTTTTATATCAATGACACGAATGACGCCACGATAACCTGCGGCGGCAAGCAATGGCGCCGCCGTCTTTAGGTCATAGGACCAGGAACAAGTGTAGAACACTTCGTCGGGCTGTAGAGAACGGGAGAGGTGAAGGAGTGGTTAGCGCCACTTTGTCCGCGACTCTTAGCCACAATATTACTCACATCTGGATCGGCATAACAATGAAGCAGCGTGATGCCGCCTTTGCGCGGACACTCGTAGACCGTACAACGATTGCTGCCAGCCGTTGCAAACACCTGTGGTTCGTTCTTGCCCAACAGTGTGTTGAAAGCTACACCAAATATGTTGGCGCCATGGTTTTCCCTTACGTGTGTGCTTGAAGTAGAAGGCCAATCAGTGTCAATGTCGCTTACTTGTTTCCGCATCCTCTTCCACACTTACTCGTATTTATAAGCAGCACCACTTTTGGGCTTCGATTTGGGATTTCGGCGTCCACGACGCTTGCTACGTGAGCTCGAAGGCGATTTACTGCGCGATGTGGTGCTATTTGTTGTAAAACTCGCTGACTCATCCTACACACATCCGCACACATGGGTTTCCAGTTTTGTCAACAAAGGGAATTGTTTTGAAATTAAATCGCTACCGTTTGCATTTTACATTTCCATTTCAACTTACGCCGCACGAGTCGTCACTGTCTTCGTGCTCGATGCCATTGCCGTTTTTCACTTTCTCACTGCTCATTTTGAATACACGACACGTTGTGGATACGCAGCGGCACGCAATTTAATATTTAAATTGCGTTTAAATTATTTAAACAATGCAAGCAACAAGTGTTTTGTTAACTTTTGGCGGCAAAATTGGCTGACAACTCACGGTGTTGCCATATCGATGAAGCGATAAAATTGCGCGCAGCTGACTCATGATCTATTCACACCACGATCAGCTGTGAGCGCGCATTTTAATAATGTACAGACATGAGGTGATTTCAGAGAGTTCAATAAAAAAGAAAATTAACGACTAGCTGTAAATGGGCAATGAACAATTTGCTTTGTATTTGATCAATTCTATTATAATTAGATGTAACTGTTGTGCTGTAGTAAATAAAGTGTTTGCAGCTTTAGCTTGAAAACGTACATTAATAGAGTTTTTAAACTTAATGATTATGAGACAGTCGTATATTTTTGGTCAAAAGTAGCCGTCAATTGGTATTCAAAATATTGCTGAGAACAGTCTACACAAGGGACCCACAAAAATGCAGTAAGGTGTTTTTTTCTCTCCAAATATTAAACGCATCTTTCGATTTTCAGTTCTATTTGAATTTGCAAATATAAGCAATCAAAACTTAATGATTCTCATAAAAATATATATTTAAGCATATATGTTTTATTTAACAACCATTACATTTTATGATAAATATTATTGATTTATATCGTGACGAATTGTAATAATGCAATATAATTCGTACAATATTTGGATGGTTCGATGTATTGCCTTCTTATTCAATGTTCCAAATATTTTTACCGAAAATCATATTTTTGGAGAACATTAAAAAGTTCAAAATGGGCCAGTAAAAAGTAACGTACAAATTACTCACGTGCAATAAACTATTTGAATAAAATGCATAAAATCGATGAATTGGGGGACAAACACATGCCATGAATGCAATTGTTAAGAAACATGTACAAATAGTTCAAAATTACATATTTACAAAAGAACTGTACAAATGCAGATTGCTGCGAGCAGTACAGAGAGCGAAAATATGGGGGAGTTTTGGTGTTGCTGTAGTACGTACAAGAGTGGAAATTATATAGTATTTACATAGTTCAAGCGAGAAATGGGGGACAGAGCTATATATACATATATATAGACAATAGTACAGCAGAATGAAGAATCATAGACAAACTTCAAGGTAGAGTGAGAGATAGAGACAGAGCGTAAGAGAGTGGGAGAGAGAGATATATATAGTTAAGAAGTTAAGGGTTATAGAGTTTGCTGTTGTTGAAGGCTCTGGTGAACCGTGTTGATTAAACATAAGGTAACAACATATTAGAAAATATAAATTTATTAATATATTTACGAACTGAAAAGGCATACAACAAAATTAATGCTAATTTTTTTTTAAATGTAAAACCATTTTTCAAGTACGTTTTATTCGTCGACATTGATCTCGCCCAGACCGGTGTGCGCAGGCGTCTTTGTCGCTGCACGGTCGCTTTATTACTGCAACTGCTACTGCTGGAAACACTTTGACCACCGCTGGCTGCACCCGCCCCACTCGATGGAGTATCCGAACTGGCCGCAGTAGTAGCTGCTGTTGTGGCTGCTGCTGTTGCATCTGTTGGGGCAGGCTTTGTCATTGAGTGGTGCTCCTCGAGCACTGATTCACTGACAGTTTCGAGAGCGGGTACTGTTTTTGTCACCTCTTCTGTCGCCGTCGCCGTCGCCATCCTAGTCGTTGCAGTTTCGTCGGGCGTTTCTGGGAGCGGTGGACCAGTGGGTCCACTGTGCGTTTGAGGCGCCATAGAAACGCCCTTCGTGCGACTCTCTATGCTTGTCGTTTGATTGTCGGACGCATCCACAACTGAGTTGGGTTCGCCAGCAGTGCCGGCGGTGGTGGTGGCGGTGGCGGTTGCATTGTGCAAGCTGCAGCTGCTATTTGAATTATTGTTATCCTGCTGTTGAGCATCGTCCTGCTCCTGCTGGCCACTATTGCTATGACTGTGCTGGCTGCAGTTTAGATTCTTACAGTTGGCATTGCAACGCTGCTCTGCCGCTGATGTCGCTTTGTCGCGCTGCTTGGACGGCTCACTTTGTGGGTGGTGGTCGGTCAAGTGTTTTTCGCACAGCAGTTGGCAGTGAGTAACAGCGAACCGGGACAGACGACAATGTTTTAGAGACGAGGAGAGTTCGTGGGTGGCATTTTTGTTCATTTGTTTGTATTGGTTTCAGTGTAATTGTGTTTTGTTTAGAATTTTTCAAAATATGGTTGGCAATAGAAAGAAAAAACATAAATAGAACATCAGTTGAAGTTGTTTGTATTATAAGAGCGCGGGGGGTAGTCGAAAAAGGCGGGGATTAGTCCAGCTGCAAAGCTTATAGGCTATATGTATAGACGAGAGACAAAATTTCAAGGTACTTCTCTTATAGATACAAGTTGGATTGTGTAAGATCAGCAAGGGACTAAGCATATACATATTTATATCCTTGCAAAGATTTTTATTTGGCGGAATTACTTGTATATAGAATAATGATGATATTTTATGCTGGAGGCAAACATTTATTTATATCCTTGCAAAAGATGAATGATTATTACTGCTTCCTACTATTTTTAAAGCCATAACATCTATCATATAAGATTTTATCTGAACACAATTACTTTTATTTGCTTATGATATCATCAGCTTACAAAATATATGATGTCTAGCATTATAATGTGCTGGTAATTGGCATTATACAAGTAGTTGTACGACTACAATACTGTTTGCAAAGGTATAATATTTTCGGCATGCCGAAGCTAAAATTTGTGCCGAGTCAGCTTAAAGTTGAAATTTTGTTTATTGTTTTTTGTCTTCTCCGATTTTCTTTACTTTTATTTCTTTTGCAGAGCATGAATGAAGACCGTACTCATTTATTCTGCTGTTTCTGATGTGTCCTGGCCAAGGACACGCACACTAGTCCATACAAGTAAATCGAACAATCGTGTCATGTGGCTGGCAAAGATGTGAATAAATTATGCATAAGGCAGCCGCACAGACACAAAATACCTACATACATACATATGTGTATAATGTGGAGGAGCTTTTATGTATGTATATATTAAAGAGAGAGAGAACACACCTTATACTTTGCTTTAATTGCAAGCACGAAAAACGGTTCTTATGTGTGATAAATAAAAAACAAAAAAAATTAATGCTGAGAAGTAGAATGTGTGACAGTTCCCCTTGCTGAACGTTTCGTAGCATGGAGAGTTGAGTTGTAAGGCACACAGCTTGTGAAAGCATAGCTTAGAGATATAGAGAACTTAGCACGGTGTCTGATTAAGAGTTGAGATTGTTGGGGGGGCACACAATTTATAATACACCAAGAAATGAGTACTGATAGTGAGGTCAGAGTTACAGAGGGGTAGTATACTTGACAAAGTTCAAAAATATTCCACTTAGAAAACACGACGAGAATTAAAACACACTGAGAAAGTTTGAGATATCGATAGGAGAGTTTTTCAATAATATACGGTGCTTCTTGTACGTTTTTGTTTTGTTTTTTTTTTGCAGTGGAGCTCTTCAAAAGAATTTTATTTGACAGTTTCGGAGGCATTAGTTATTTGTTTGCATGTACTTCAAAGTTACATACGCTAGTCTACCTAGAAAAATGAAATATGCGCATTTTGGCAATAAATGTAATATACTTGTATGTATGTATGAGGGGTATGATGATGGAGGCTGATGAGGAGACTAAACTTTTTGCTACTGCATAGCAAGGCAAAAAATTTGTTAGTTTCTTGACACATGAACAGAAGAGAGCACTACAAAATATGATGAAGATAGAAAAGTAGATATGTATGTTGATAGATAGATAGGCGTCATAAGAGGTTGAGGGTGAGTTGGTTAAAAGTATTACTTAGTAGTATTAGTGGTTGAGGTGGTTTTTGGATAAGTAGTTGATGTGAACGCATAGCGTTTATAGTACGAATAGATTGAGAGAGAGAGTTAAAAATCAACAAAGTTAACGACAAACCAAAACTGGAAGTTGACTCTAAGACTTACTCTTCGCACTCAACGGATGAAGACGCAATCTGCCCCAATTTTGTTTTACCTGTTGTGGGGCTTCTGTATTACACAGACACACACACATATATAAAAAGAAAAAATCGAAAATGAAAAAGTTGTAAAGGAATAACAAACAGATAAAACAGTATGAAGTATATATTATATATGTATATACGATTATTAATTGGTATGAGAAATCATAATGGAGAAGTCGCACGACGACAACAAAGTCTGCCATAATGAAATTGGCGATGAGTTTGAGTTTGATTCTAGTATATTGAAGCTTGCCTTGTGGTGCAATCCGAATAGGTATGCGAATTTCGAAAGCTACGGAGCATACTTTTGACCTACACTTAAATCTGTGAAAGCCTAAACCAATTGATGGGCCCCGATTCAGAATCGCAGTTAGAGTTGTTGTTTGGTTAGAAATGGAGCAAGTAGCTTGAGGATTGTCAATTACTTGTACGAGAAGTTGTATGAAAAAGCGCTACTGCAAATGCTACACCTACCTTGATTCGTCCAGGAACACTGCCTCGAGAACACGCGCTGCATAATGCAGATTGCGTTGCATGTCCTCGTAGGCAACGGATCCTTGATCCATGCGACGCAGCAAATGGCGAATTCTGTAATGAAAAGAGTGGACATTAGATTGATAAAGTCTTAATTTTGATATCTAACAAAGCTATCGCTCTAATGTTGGAAAATCATGCTTATGAAATACTTAAAGAAACAAATCTTTCATTACAAAATATATCTTAAAAACTTAATTTTGATAAACTGATAACACCACCTAACTTAATTATATTTTTGTACCATATTGACATCTTTTTATATTGAAACTTAAAAATAGAAAAAATTGCATTCGAATTAATATTTCTTTCGGTAGCGGACGAAATCTCAGACATATTCCAATAATAAATAACAATGAAAGCAAAAGTTATTTCTAGCATAAGAACAATACAGTATATACATATATTTTATTTGAACTTTAAACATTACTGACATGTGTTATTCATTTTTAAATTACAACAACAAACAAGTAGTTTCCAAATGAGAAAACTAAAACATTTAGCGAACAGGTATACAAAATGGAAGCAGTAGTCGAAATGGGGACTTTAACAATTCCTTCCCCAGCAATTTTTGTGCATTGGGAAAATCGACATATCAGAGATCCATGAAAATTTCGCATTCGTAAAACAAATAGCTCCAATAAGTGCAACAAATGCGTTCTGTAAATAGGGGAAGGCGCGTGAATCCAGAACAAAAAACTTCAAATGCCTCCAGAACTATGTTTTTAAAAAATTCTTTAAAAAGTATCCGTCCGTTGCTTCATCAGTAAAATTAAATCGTTTCTCTTTCTACAACTCTACACACAATTTTTTCCGCTCTTCTTCCCACTTTTCTTTCGAAAGTAACTTATTTTCCTAATATTCTTTCCACCATCCTCTTTAGGAGTTCATAAATAATGCAAATAGAAGCGGAACGCCTGAATAATTGTTAAAACAAAATAGAAATACGAGTATTATGTTTTTAACGCCACAAACTGAATGTATTAATAACAAAAACGAATTGATATTTCAGAGTTACAAGTACATATAGACAATTCATTATTATAGAACGGGTTTTTGATTTCGTAACCTCATAAGCCCAGCTATATGTAAAACTATTTACGTAAGGTTCGAGTTATTTTCTGCTCATGGAATTACCGGTTTTAGATCATGTATTCAACACCTTTGTCTTGGGTTTCTTATATACTTTACGCAAAAGTTAAGACGGTATACTCGCTTAGTGCGAATGAAAAGGATCAGGATGACAAGACGAGTCGATATAGCCATGAACGACCATCCGTCTGTACGGAAGGATCTCAAAGTATAAGAGCTTGAATTACTAAGCTTGGAAACCAAATTCTCCAGATTATTCAGGAGTTCGACAAAAGATGGGTTTGCGTTTATTTTTCCGTCGTACCTCCCACATTAGGTTTCATTGTGATATGTCAAAATAATAATAAAATAATGGATGTTTATGCCATAAGTGTAATCTCTGCCCATGCTCTGCCCGCAGCTTTTGTTGTTGTTGTGTCTGCTTTGGCTCAACTGTACACATATACGAAGACATAGTCTCTCATAAAAACAGTATTGATGTGTTATATTCAATGTACGTGTTATATACATTTGATTTATTATATTAATTTTATTTTAAATAAATTAATTTTATAAATAGATGAATAATTTTTTGTGCTTCTTGGAGAGGGTACAGCATTTTTAAAAGTTGAGTCCACTCGACTCTAGAATTCCTTTTTTGTTAAGCCTCAAGTTTATTTTACAATTTTAAATACTTTAATGGCACTAAAAAATCAAAACGGCAACCAATCAAAGATTTAAAAGGAGAATTAACTGAATTGAAAGATGCCTTGTACCTCCAAGAAGAATTGGTTTAGATTTAGCTAAGACTTTCAACTGTTAACAACTAATTTGTCCACTGAATGATAAACTTTTAATGTATATATTTTATTCTAGATATAAATATAAATAAATATATGATATATATATAGTTACTTACTTGACGGCTGCTTTATTGAGCGCATCTGGTGTATCGACAGATGGCAAATTTTCCCAATTTTCTATATTGTCCGCGCTGTACGGTTCCGCATCCGAGGTGAACATATCGGTACGCGATCCCGTTATTAACGAGTTCCCGGCCTCATCGGCACCCCCGCCATTGGGTGCCGTGGTCGGATCGGTTGAGTAGTTCGATAAATTCGGCGACGAGGGCTGCATTTTCTCCGAGTTGTTCATTGGTGGCACAGTCGTTGCGGCTACTGCTGATTCGCGCAGTGGCAGCTGCTGCAGTGGCTCAGTCGTGGAGGCTGCGGCGTTATGACCGCCGCCGCTGCTACCGTTAGTATTCGTATTCCGGGAGCTGCTGGTTCCAGTCGTTGCCGGACCGCTCAAGCGCTCGGCGCCCGGTTCACTTAATGGTTGGAAGAAACTGATGCTCGCGGCGTTCGCTGGCGAGCTGAGCAGCGTTGATTGTTGTGCGTCGATTTGTGTGAAATTTTTGCGACTATTTGAGCGTCGTACAATGGTAAGAGAGCCGTGTCCTGCAGACGAAAAGGGAATAAAAGAAAGTGAAGGAAACAATTGAAAAAGGGTTCATTCGTTAGGCATCGATTTGCTTTTATGTCAAATTTCTTGTATTGACATACATACACTTATGTATAGCCTTAAGCTATACTTAGGTTTAACGAAGCATAAAACTGAATTGTTTGCTTTGCTCCGTCTCCCATAAAAAAACATCTCTCTTGCATATTGAAAGAAATCAATAATTTATTCGTATTCGTACGCCCCACACGACAGTTTCTGACTTAAAGCCATTGTAGCATAAGTATACGAGTATATACAAATTCCTTTATTTAGTGTTACCCAAGGCCAAATTTATTCTTAACGAGTGGAAGAGAAAAGAATATAGAAGGAAGGGAAGCGAAGGGCAGGGCAGGGGAACGTAACTCAGTGAGGCGACGAGCTGATGTGCTCATGTGGCAAATCTTTGCCAACGAAATAAACGTAATTGAGTGGCGTGCTTCTAAATATACTCCGTGCCCGCCTTGTCCAGCGTTGAAAATTGCCAGGATTTATCTGTTTGCCAAGCGTAGAAAACAAAATGAAGACGAAAAGGAAAAGGAGAGAAAGCACAAAAAAATATATAAAGCATTCAGTGTGTGTTTGTGCCCAACCCACTTGTACACTTTGGGTCGTTAACTGCACTCCATTCATTTTGGCAGTGCAGCATTTGAAGGGCCAAAGTGCCTCTGGCACGCAACATGCACAAAGGTGTCTCTCCCTATTGTTGTTACTGGTGCGGCTGCTGGTGCTGCTTCTCCTACTGCCACTGTCGCTGCCACTGCCGATGGGCACTGACATAAAAATCGGTTTTTACTGCACTTAAATTTATGTTTCACCCGAGATTCCTTCACTTAACTGCTTCAGCTTGTACACAGTTTAGCTTTACAAGGACCATTGCACAGTGGTTAAGCTTCACGGAAAAATAATATTGAAATACCAATTACATGTCTTAACTAAGAGCTCCGTCTGTATGCACATCCATCTCCCAGAAGGGGTAAAAAGGACAATTTTGGTATATAGATAGATATATGGATAGATAGATGGACAGGTAGTTGGATAATATAGATGGTTAGATAAATGGATAGATAGATGGATAGATAGTTGGATAGATAGATGGATAGATACTTGTAGATGGATAGATAGATGGATAGATAGATGGATAGATAGATGGATAGATAGTTGGATAGATAGATGGTTAGATAGATGGATAGATAGATGGACAGGTAGTTGGATAATATAGATGGTTAGATAGATGGATAGATAGATGGATAGATAGATGGATAGATAGATGGATAGATAGTTGGATAGATAGATGGATAGATAGATGGATAGATAGATGGATAGATAGATGGATAGATAGATGGTTAGATAGATGGTTAGATAGATGGATAGATAGATGGATAGATAGATGGATAGATAGATGGATAGATAGATGGATAGATAGATGGATAGATAGATGGATAGATATATGGTTAGATAGATGGATAGATAGATGGAGAGATATATCGATAGATAGATGGATAGATAGATAGATAGATAGATGGATAGATAGATGGATAGATAGATGGATAGATAGATGGATAGATAGATGGATAGATAGATGGACAGGTAGTTGGATAATATAGATGGTTAGATAGATGGATAGATAGATGGATAGATAGATGGATAGATAGATGGATAGATAGATGGATAGATAGATGGATAGATAGATGGATAGATAGATGGATAGATAGATGGTTAGATAGATGGTTAGATAGATGGATAGATAGATGGATAGATAGATGGATGGATAGATGGATAGATAGATGGTTAGATAGATGGATAGATAGATGGATAGATATATGGATAGATAGATGGATAGATAGATGGATAGATAGATGGATAGATAGATGGATAGATAGATGGATAGATAGTTGGATAGATAGATGAATAGATAGATGAATAGATAGATGGATAGATAGATGGATATATAGATGAATAGATAGATGGATAGATAGATGGATAGATAGATGGATGGATAGATGGATAGATAGATGGATAGATAGATGGATAGATAGTTGGATAGATAGATGGATAGATGGATGGATAGATAGATGGTTAGATAGATGGATAGATAGATGGATAGATAGATGGATAGATAGATGGATAGATAGATGGATAGATAGATGGATAGATAGATGGATAGATAGATGGATAGATAGTTGGATAGATAGATGGTTAGATAGATGGTTAGATAGATGGATAGATAGATGGATAGATAGATGGATAGATAGTTGGATAGATAGATGGATAGATAGATGGATAGATAGATGGATAGATAGTTGGATAGATATATGGTTAGATAGATGAATAGATAGATGGATAGATAGATGGATATATAGATGGATAGATAGATGGATAGATAGATGGATAGATAGATGGATAGATAGATGGATAGATAGTTGGATAGATAGATGGTTAGATAGATGGTTAGATAGATGGATAGATAGATGGATAGATAGATGGATTGATAGATGGATAGATAGATGGTTAGATAGATGGATAGATAGATGGATAGATATATGGATAGATAGATGGATAGATAGATGGATAGATAGATGGATAGATAGATGGATAGATAGATGGATAGATAGTTGGATAGATAGATGAATAGATAGATGAATAGATAGATGGATAGATAGATGGATATATAGATGAATAGATAGATGGATAGATAGATGGATGGATAGATGGATGGATAGATGGATAGATAGATGGTTAGATAGATGGATAGATAGATGGATAGATAGATAGATGGTTAGATAGATGGATAGATAGATGGATAGATAGATGGATAGATAGATGGATAGATAGGTGGATAGATAGATGGATAGATAGATGGATAGATAGATGGATAGATAGATGGATAGATAGATGGATAGATGGATAGATATATGGTTAGATAGATGGATAGATAGATGGATAGATAGATGGATAGATAGATCGATAGATAGATGGATAGATAGATGGATAGATAGATGGATAGATAGATGGATAGATAGATGGATAGATAGATGGATAGATAGATGGATAGATAGATGGATAGATAGATGGATAGATAGATGGATAGATAGATGGATAGATAGATTGATAGATAGATGGATAGATAGATGGATAGATAGATGGATAGATAGATGGATAGATAGATGGATAGATAGATGGATAGATAGATGGATAGATAGATGGATAGATAGATGGATAGATAGATGGATAGATAGATGGATAGATAGATGGATAGATAGATGGATAGATAGATGGATAGATAGATGGATAGATAGATGGATAGATAGATGGATAGATAGATGGATAGATAGATGGATAGATAGATGGATAGATAGATGGATAGATAGATGGATAGATAGATGGATAGATAGATGGATAGATAGATGGATAGATAGATGGATAGATAGGATAGATAGATGGATAGATAGATGGATAGATAGGTGGATAGATAGATGAATAGATAGATGGATAGATAGATGGATAGATAGATGGATAGATAGATGGATAGATAGATGGATAGATAGATGGATAGATAGATGGATAGATATATGGTTAGATAGATGGATAGATAGATGGATAGATAGATGGATAGATAGATCGATATATAGATGGATAGATAGATGGATAGATAGATGGATAGATAGATGGATAGATAGATGGATAGATAGATGGATAGATAGATGGATAGATAGATGGATAGATAGATGGATAGATAGATGGATAGATAGATGGATAGATAGATGAATAGATAGATGGATAGATAGATGAATAGATAGACGGATAGATAGATGGATGGATATATAGATGGATATATAGATGGATATATAGATGGATATATAGATGGATATATAGATGGATATAAAGATAGATAGATAGTTGGATAGATATATGGTTAGATAGATGAATAGATAGATGGATAGATAGCTGGATAGATAGTTGGGTAAATAGGTATACAGATAGATGGATTAATATATAGATTTTTCCTGTAGAAGTTAACTGAATCCTACCAACGAACTACCTTTGTTTTAGATGGACGAACCGTCGTGTTTCCTGAAATCCAATTCTTATTGTGCGAGGACACAACCTGCCCCACTCTCTAGTACCAGTGTTATTAGAAACTGCGAAAGACTGCTCTGTTCAATATTGAAATATTTCGATATTATTTTTCCTGGAAAAGTGTAGCCCCAGTCAAGGAAGTGTGTAAAATCATTCCTTTTGATATAAAATTAAAGAGACAACGAGAAATAAAAAGTGCTCTTAGTACACATTTCAAAAAGAATTGGAATTGAACTGCTTGTTTCTGAACCACTGTGCCTTATGGGATCTGTCTGTTAGGTATGCGACTAACTGAGCAGAGCTGAGCTGATTCCGTCTGCTTGACGTTTCTTTATCGTCCGCCATCATGCGCTCTAAGTACGAGTTGTTAACGTTTGCACTGCTCAGTGTTCAGGCTCGACAAGATGCTGGCGCAAAATGTTTAATGTTTGTTTTACTGCGCATCGACACTTGAGCCAAACTCCTGCTGTAAGCTAAAGGATCTGCCCTGCAGCACCTCGTCTCTTTAATGAGTTCCACATACGACCTGCTCGGCCCTTTCTTTGGCTTTATTTTATTTCCGTAAATGTACAATGTAAGCAAAATGTTGTTGCCGCTCTTTGTTATTATCCTTTGTTTTATTTTATTTTTTTTTTTTTTGGCTGAGGGTTTTTGCAGCTTAGTTGCATCCTGTCGCAAAAAGCTGGCAATGAAATCTCAGCAGTGGTGGCAAGATTTATGCAGCCGTTGCAGGTAGCAGGCTACCGGCTCGCCGCGCAATGTCAGGCAATAAAATGGAAATTAAAATAATTTTGTGGTGGGTTCGGATAAATGAAAAAATACAAAGCTTTCAACCGCAGTGTTTCACGCCCCCTTTAAGCCCCTGGACCCTCATACTTACTTGCCACTTGACCATTTATTGTCGCATTTGTGCTGCCGCCCAGTTCGCAACTGCTAAGGTTCTGAATTTCCGTGCCACCGACTGAAGTTGTTGTTGTTGCTGCACCGCCGCCTGCTGCACCACTGCCTACTCCACAGACCGTACTGCTGGTGCCCGCTGAAACGCCTGCGCTGGCCTCGTCACGCTTGCCCGGTATCGCCTCCGGTGTACTGGCAACTGCAAAATGATGCAAAAAAAGAGGATAAGTCGTTATTGGTTGTGCTCATCCAACATCCAGAATCCAGCAACCCTCAGCCCACACACCCTTGCATCAATTTCCACGAGCTGGGCTCCATGTCTGTAGTGTGGACTGCCTTATTCCATAGCAACCACATGAAGTGGGAGCATAACAAAATATTCATAACAGCTGCCATCAACTAACAAATCCTCAGCTATATTCCATACATACCACACGTATTTTTATGTAAGCAGGTAGAGTAAAGGTAGAACATATTTGGATTCCCTAAACTACGAAGAGTTTTCCTACAATCGCTATAAATGTAGTATTCAAGAAATTAGATAATCGCACATCTGCCGGCTACTGCTTTCATTTCAATACGTTCCCTAAAAGGGAGTCGATAGAATAGCGCTTTAACTTACCTCCCAGAACAATAAAATAAATATAATATAATAAATAGCTGGCCGGACTGGCAATCAAATTTGCCCCCACCGGGTGGGATATTTTCCTTTTTCTCCTTCTGTTCCTTTTTCTCATTTAGATAGCTCTTACAAGTAAGTATAAGTAAATTTTTTCCTCCATTATATTTTTTTTTTAGTCATTTGGGTCTATAATCTCTGACAACATATAGCTGTGAATCGGGGCATAGCTGTCCAAATGGCAAATAAAATATAAAATATAAATATAATATATACATTATGGTATAGTTAAATTATAACTTGATATTGGTAATTTGTATCGACAGCACTATTTGATGATCTATTAAATAAATCAATAATCTCAACAAAAAAAAATAGTATAACAAACAATCATAGAAAAACGTAAAGATGCTTCATGCAATGATATACTTGTAAAGACTTTTAAATTGTAACTTATGGACAGACGATTATAACGAAAAAAATACTATCAAAAATAGAAAGTACAAATAAATAAATAAATAATTTTTTTCAAATGGCACTTTCAAAGCATACTTTGTACACGATTGCGATTTATAGCTGCAATAAGAATTTGAGAAATTTAGATACGATATTCCCTTTCCCTACTGGCCGGCTGACTGGTGCTTGTAATGTTGTTAGCCAAAGTGTATCTCTATTTATTTCTATTTCAATCTGTAGCCGTTTAATATCCTTTTGTTATGTTTCGAATTTTATCCTTTTAGCCTTCGCCCACCACCCAACAGTTCGTTGCTCTGCCAAGCAACCAGGCACAATATTTAGATTGAAATGGCTTTTTATGCGTTGAAAGCCTTTTATTAGCAGCTAAGCAATTTCTGGAGAACATTAGCAAACATATGAAGTAGAGAAGCAGTTATGCTGCTGAGCTCATCATCCACTTTTACGCCCCTGCAGTAACTATAAATAGGGGGATTCTATGTTTCTCTTTTCAATAACGCGTCTAGTAAGCCCTGGCAAGCGTCACACATGACTTGTTGCGTCCATTTTATTATTATTACCATCATTATGAATACTATTAGTGTTAATAAATAATGGTAATCATGGTTACAGAGGACTATATTTTAAAGTTCAATTAATTGTACTAGTATTTTTTTCTTTGATTTAAACTTTTCCGCTAAGAAAAAGCGACACGAAACAAAATTAGAAGTGGAAGCATTTAACAGGTAATTTCGATTTGTGATTAATGATTAATGCTACTACTTGTTGAAGAAAGTGTAATTATTTGTTTGTTTTTATACTTGTACATACTCGTATTTATACCAATCAGTAATTATAACAATTTACAAATCGAAATTACCTGGTGATACGCCCATTGTAGTATTTTGTGCTTTTAAAGGTTTCTGTGATATTTCATAGACAAAATAAATCATTGTCACACTCGTGTAAATCAAATTGAAATTACACACCTATGTATATAAGCTCTATTAGGTTTCCCTTTTTAGGCAATTAGTCAGAATGAGTTTCTTTACTGTTCCCATATTCATGGCTCTGTTGGCCAGTGCTGCTTTGACCGACGCCTGCATTTGTATGCCGGCTTTAGAGTCTGTTTGCGGCAGTGATGGTATTACCTACGAAAACACATGTGTCCTGAATTGTTCGATCCAGATAGCCCAGAAGCAGGGTCGTGACTTGAAATTGGTTCACGAGGGCAAATGTCAATACTAAATGTATGTAAAAGTTTGATCAAATAAATTCAACTGCTTTTAGACACTCTATTATACTCTCTACCCAATGAATTAAAGGGTATTGGAATAGTAATGTATGTATATTGGGAATAAAACATGATAAGGATAATGATTATTATCATTATTTTTAATCAATAAAATCATTCACTTATAGTGGGAGCTTCGAATAGCACAACGAGATAGCAGGATTCTCACAACCTAATGCTAAATTATAAAATCATCCTTTTTAAAGAGCATCTATGCATATAGTATGTGTAATGATTTTAAAACTAGGTATCACCAGGTAAGTTGGGATAATCAATAATAAAATGGTCATTATTTTCGAGCAACAAAATAAAACTTCAACAAGTAAAAAAGCTAAAGTCGGGTGCCCCGACTTTGAAATACTCTGTACATATGTTTACAATAATTATAGAAAATAAAAAAAATTAAGAAAATAAAAAAAAATTTGATCGATTTTACCTCTCTCGGTATTCGAACTCACGTAAAGGGTTTATAATTGCACATTTACATAGCAATTGCGTCTGTGTGAGTGTATGTATGCCTATGCGCATCTATTCGTGTCTGTGTAAGCATTTTCGCAGTCAACCAAACAGCAACATCAACAACAGCCGGGGGCAGCGCTTGAGCAGCGCTGCAGCAGCAAATATATTTATGGCTATAACTTCTTGTTAAATCGGTCTATCATAGTGAAACTTGGCATACGGACACATAATAACAAACTGGGGGTATTTGCAAAATTTTAGTTCGAAATTCCAAGAATTACGGGAGTTACGATTTGTGGGGTAGAGGGGGGAGGGAGGGAAATTCCAAAATATACATTTTCTGCGTATTCACATAAGGCATCTGGGACTAAAATTTGGTGTTCCTAGGTCTTATAGTCTCCGAGATATAGGCGATTATACGAATGGAAAATCGGGAAAACCCCCATAGGGGGGAAGTGGGGGGGAAAATCAAAAAAATAAAACAAACTCGTATAGAATACACACATAACGCATCTTCGTGCAAAATTTGGTGTCTCTATCTCTTATAGTCTCTGAGATCCAGGTGTTCATACGGACGGACAGACGGACAGACGGACAGACTGACAGACGGACAGACGGACAGACAGACAGACAGGGCTAGATCGACTCGTCTTGTCACGCTGATCAAGAATATATATACTTTGTGGGGTCTGCCACGCCTCCTTCTGCCTGTTACATTTTTCAGCTCCCGCAAACCTAATATACTTCTGTACATTTCATGTACAGAGTATAAAAATAATGATTAGGAAAAATTTAATTTTTTGCTCGACAACAAATATCTTTAATAAAATATTTTTATTAAAAGAAAAAAGAATTTTTGATTTTTTAAAATTTGTTTTTAATTTTAAAATTGAAAATATAGTTAGTATTTAATAGTATTGTATTGTAGTATTTAACTTTGTAAGCAGCATTGCTTGCGCGCTTAGGTTTTTTTTTAAATCCAACAACAATTTTATTAAAATATTTAATTATATAAATGAGATGTACGCGCACTTGCATAAGTACATAAGTAAGTATATAGAAGTGATTAGTGCAATGACAACTCTCGGATTGTCCAATTTCTTAGCCATGCGCTTATTTAATCTGTTCATTTCCTGAAACTTATGGGGCAGTACTATCTCTCTATCTGTTTGCATAGCCGAAGGTATTAACCACGGAAATCCATTTGGTGTAAACGAGGAATTGAATTGAATTTTTCACATTTAATAACTATTTGATTGATATTGCCTTCATTTTCTACTTAATTCCTATTAAAAACTGAAGGCGTTGCACAATATATATTTGTCACACATAATTGCAATTTGTAACGTTGGCGTGAAACACGCTTCCGAAATATATAAAGCAATGGTTATTGCAATGCCAACATCCAGATATTCTGATTTTTTCGGACTTGATAGCCATGCATTTCCTTGGACTGGTCCTATCTCTGAGCTTTTTGGTCAGCGCTGCCCACGCCTGCACTTGTCACAGGGACTTAAAGCCTGTTTGCGGAAGCGATGGAAAAACATATGACAATAAGTGTATGCTGGAATGTGAGATGGCTAAAAACAAGGACTTGAAATTGAAGCACGAGGGCAAATGCAAATAAGCGTCATGTAAAAAAATATTAATAAATATAATTGTATTTTTGTCCATTAGATCTATTGTTATATCCTGTGCCTTAAGAGCTGAATTCTACCCTGAATTCTTATAGCCGATTAAGAATGAGGATTGCAGGTCCAGCTGATCCATAAGCGAGCCATGTTTGGGTTTTATAGCTCTACCAACTGCAACAATGCAAAAAACGTTAACAATCAAACTGCCTTTTAGGAAGCTTTAGAACGAATATGTCTATGTACTTTTTTCATTGTAGTTCATTGTTGAACTGAGGCATAAATATAGCTTTCATCGTTTTTAATATTTAATAACTTTTTAGTTGGTATGTTAAATAAATATTAAATTGATCATTTCCTACATTCCTTAAACTAAAACTAACTGCTGGTCAATTGTATAAACAAAGCAAAGATCTGAGCATTAGATCTTTTGTTATACTTGTAGTCTGTACCAAAAGGAAGAAATGGTACGCTGAATTCCAGGAAAAGATCTGGCTTTTAAGGCTTAACGGCTGTAACAACGCGAACAATCACAACAATCCCATTATCTTTTTAGAAAGCTTCAGAATGAATATGTTTATTTACTATTTTCATTGTAGCTCCTTGTTGAACTTAGAGTTAAATAAAACATTCTTAATTTTTCATATTTTATAAAGAAAGTGAGTCTCCATATACTACTTAACTTTTTAATTGGTATGTTAAATAAATATTTGGATGATATTTCCTATATTTTTCATTATAAG